ACTAGTATTAGTAGTAGTAGTAGTAATAGGAGTAGGAGTAGGAGTAGTAGTAGTAGTAACAGTATTAGTAGTAGTGGTAGTAAAGTTCAATAAAGAGAAAAAAAGGCTAAAGAAATTTTTACTCTTAGTCTGGTTGTTCTTGCCTGATCTCCAATTTCTAACTCAAGCCAAAACCTTAGTTCCTGAATCCTGTTACATCTTCCTATTGTTTTTAGTTTTGTGGTGCTGGATTTATCTTGTAATTGATCACGAAATACTTATTTCCTTCTCAGAAAAAAAATACTTATTTTGCTTGTTCTCATGAGAGAGAATTCAAAAATTCATAGGATCATCCATCTATATTATGGAAATGCTTGTTTTATTCCATAAATTAAAAATAAAAAAAATCTAGAAGGTAACTCAGAAACTGTCTGGTCCAACCCCCTTATTTTAGAGATGATAATACTGAGGCCTACGGATGTCAACTCACCCACAAAGGTAGCATGCATCTGAGGTAGGATTTGAACCTAGATTCCCTGACTCCAGGGCCAGCACTCATTCCACTATATCATGCTTCCTCTTGAGTTATGAGATAATACTTATAAAGTGCTTAATACACTTCTTGGCACATAGTAGGTACTTAATAAATGCTTATTTCCTTTCCTCTTCTTGAATTTTAATTGCTAGAGGGAAATGTCTCACTGGGTTTTCCACATGCTGTTGAAACCACAGGTCCTGATAAAAATAATATATAACATCATTACAATTATGGTGTACATGCAGCTATCTCTTTCCTCACAACCATTCTGTCAGAGTAATAGTCTAAGGAAGAGTTTCCTAACAATTAGAGCTATTAAACGATATACGGGATACTTTACAAAGAGAGGTTTCTAATGTTGTCTGCTGGAGGTCAATAATCAGAAGACAGATGATTACTTGTTAGTCAGTCAGCCAATAAGTGTTTATTACTATATGCCAAGCATTGTACCTTATCAGGAATATTATAATGGAGATTTATATATCAGGAGGAGATGGGTCTAGGTGAACTATGAGGAGACTTTTAACTTCCAGAATGCTTGATTTTTTTAAAATCTCCTGTTGAGGGGGTCACTAATAATCTGGGGATAGACACATAGTGACATGATCTAGCATCCTTTTAAACAAGAAGTATATTGAAGCGCACAGGGTTCATAGCCTTTTTGAGGTGAGAGGGGTATAGAGGGTATAATATATAGGGTATAGGGGTATAGAGGGTTATAGAAGAGGTATAACTTGTGATCACAATAACATAGAAAGACAATTTGCTTCTCTTTTGCTTTAAAGCGAACACTGCATGGCTATCCACCATCTCAGTATCATAAAATCAGAAGAATGGAAAATTGTTGAATGTGTTATCTAGTTGAATATTCTATAAAGTATCCCTTGCAATATAAATAGTGTAATTCTAAAGCAGTATTTCTCAGAGGGTAGTCCAGGAACCCCTAGGAGTCTCTGAGATCCTTTCAGGGAAGGTGAATGAGGTCGAATATATTTTCATAACAATGCCAAATATCTTAAATTTGAATACAGTAAATATTGAGAGATGTAATTCAAATAAATCAAAGCTCTTAAATTGGTCCTGAATAATTTTTAAGAGTGAAAAGGAATCCTGAAACCAAAAAGATTGAGAACTGCTTCTCTAATTAAATGGACCTGCTTTTTTTTAAAACAAATATCCCAGAATGCACACAATCAAATGCATATTACCCTTTACAATTACCCCTTTGGGACGCCTGAGAAAATGAAAAAGGAATTTGATTTGGGGTAACAGAAAAAATAGAATTCCAATCATGGTTCCTTCAATTCCTACTTATAGGGCAATGGCCAAGTCATTTAGCATCTCTGAATCTGGGTTTCTTCTTCTGTAAAATGGAGTCAGTAAACCCACAGAACCTATCCAATAGGATTACTTTGAGGATCAAATGAGATAAGCCATGCGAAGCACTTTGAAAATATTAGACCACTATATAAATATCAATTATTATTGTTAGTTTTATGGCAGTGGAACATATTGCATGTGGACCTGACCTTGGAGTCAAGAATCCTTGGATCTGACACTTATCAGTTGTGTGGGTACAGGCAAATTCCTGAAATTCTTTGTGATCTCAGGTACCTCTATAAATCTATGAACATATTGATTGACAAGGTGCCAATCTGAATAGGTGAAAGCAATTTCCACAAATAGTTCCCCCCCAGCAATGGAATTACAGGTTCAGACACAAACATTTTTTATCAATATCACCATCATTGCTAATATCTATTTAATCATTTATTCATCCATTTATTTATCATGTTTATTTTAATGATAATGCCATTGCTCAAATCATTTTGGAATCTGCTATTAGACTCTGCTGTAAATTTATTAAAATGTTATGAAAGGTGTTAAAATTACTAAATATGAACTTTGGAAATGGTCAAAAGTCTGCTGAACAAAGTGAGTGATGAAGCTGGGGAACATCTTGCAGGGTCAATGACAAGATGTGACTGTAAGGTAACAAGATTGACTTTCTTATGTACTTCATAATTAGACTCTGAAAGTCATTATTCTTTTGTTGATTTGAGCAATGAAAGTGGCAGTGGATATTAAAGAGAATGCCTTTGAGAGATAATATTCACTTGGATAATGAATTTTGAGACATTTCCAAAAAATTCATTCTTGTTACTTCAGGGTCAATAAATAGTCTCTTGTGATATGGTGTTAAACATTAGGAATACTAGTAATAATAATACTAATAATATTTTGTGTGCATATATAATTTTGTATATATAAATGTGAAATACAAATTACATACACATATTACTAATGTATGTACATCAATATAAACCTATATACATTATTAATATGAGGAGAGAAAAATGGAGAAAGAGACCAAAAGACAGAGAGAGAAAGAGAGAGAGAGAGAAGGAAAGAGAAGAAAAGGAAGAGGAGAGAGACCATCAATATGGCTTGTGAGTTTCAGAGCCAACCTTGTAACCATCCAGCAAATCTTGTAACCTGAGTCTGTTGTTTGTAAAATCTGATCATGATAAATGTTCTCTTACAGGGTTCTTTTAAGGAACTAATTACCAGGTTATAAACTAAAAAGTACTACCTAAATTCCAGGAATCATCATGATTTTTATTATTTTGTTTACGTAGCTGAACATATGCATACTTTCAGATCTATCTCATAATTAGCACAAACTTGAAAACAATATCTTTGATAGTTCTGAGGAATGCGATAATAATGGAAAATACTTTTCTTCTTTTAAAGGGTAAGGATGGGGTAGTAAAATTTGTAGAACTGATTCTCCCTCTGTTGAATAAGTCCTTGATATTTAGCAAAGTAAATTTTGTACTCTGCTTTTCCCACGTCTAAACAAGAGATAATATGAGAATAATAAAGAAATAAATAATCAATAATTGTTTCCAAAATTCCTATAATGTTCCAGTCACTGTGCCAGGCACTGGGGACAGAAGTAAAAAGAATGAAACAATCCCTACTTGCTAGGAGCTTATGTTTTGAAAGGGGAGAAAATAGGTACACATAAAAACACACATACAGTCTAAATGTAAATTTCATAAATATAAATATATGCAAAGTAATTAAATTTAAAATAGTTTGATAGGAAAGCAGTATTAATTATAAGGATCAAAAAGAGCTTCCAACAGAATATGGTGCAGAAATGCATCTTAGAGATAGAAAGGTACTCTGTAAGGCAGAGCTAAAGAGAGATTTATTCCAGGTATTTTAGATGGCCAGCGCAAAGACATGGAGATGGTGGATGAAGTCCTATGTGTAAGAAATGGAGAGGATGGCAATTTTATTGGATCCCAGAGTGAGGATGATGGTGGTAACAGCTAGAATTCATATAACATCTGTAAGCACATATACATTATCTCAAATGTTCTGCTTGTATCTGAACACTAGCTCTTTGAAGTAAATCATTAAAATATGGCATTATTATTTCAATTTGGCAGATAAGGAACCAAAGCTTCACAAAGGTGACATGTCTTATCCGAAAAAATAGAGCTGGCAAGTAACAGAAAAGCCATAAAACTATCATGACCCCAACTCCAGTGAAATTGTGCTTCACCCCAGCAGGAGATTAATTATGTACCCCCTAGTGCCCCATATTTAGGCCCAAGAAATCCCATCCCAGGAGACAGGGTGGACTGGAATTCTCTAGAATATACTCTTGGATCATGTATCCTGCTCCAGTGAGGAGCTACAAAAAAGAAGTAAATTTCTCATTGTCTTTGTGTGCCATTAGACCACAATTCCTGGGGAGAAAATCAGTTCCTAGCCTTGCCTAAAACATAGCTGCTTAAAATTAATACTACAGGAAAGGGGAGAAAAAAGAGAAAAAATTCATTTGAATAATAATACTTAGTAGCTAACACTGATTTAGTGCTTTCTATGTGCTAGGCATTGTGTGCTAAGTGCTTTACTGAGGCAAATAAAGGTGAAATGACTTGCCCAGGGTTGCACAGCTAATCTGTGTCTGAATCCATATTTGAACTCAGATCTTTCTGACTCCAGGCTCAGTGCTCTATCCACTGTGCCACCATTTACCCTTACAAAGGAAAAAAATATTGAGAAACTGCTACATGCAAGGAACCATATAAGGCAGAGAAGGTGATACTAAGAAGAGTTAGAAATAGTTCGTTAACTTGTAGTTGTTGCTGTTGTCGTTGTTGTTGTTTAGTCGTCAGTCATGTCTGACTCTCCATGACAACACATAGGGTTTTCTTGGCAAAGATACTGGAATGGTTTGCCATTTCCTTCTCCAGTAGACCATCTTTTCTTAGAACTCACCACTACGACTACTCCATCTCTGGTAACCCTGAATGGCATAGCTCACAGTTTCATTGAGTACACAAGTCCTTCCACCATGACAAGTCAGTGATTTAGGAGATACATACTGCAATTAACATGAATTAAATATTTCATTTCAGGATATTAACCTCTCATAAGAAAAAAAAATCTTCCTTATCCCATCATGTCAGCTTTCTCTAATAGCACATCACCACCATCCTTGACTTTCTTTCTGACGGGTGTTCCTGGACTAGAAGCTGCCCATACCTGGATCTCCATCCCCTTTTGCTGTATGTACATAACAGCTCTCTCTGGAAATGGTATGATCATATTTGTCATCATCACTGAACCAAGCCTCCATGAGCCCATGTATTATTTTCTCTCTATGCTGTGCACCACTGACCTAGGATTGTGCATTTCCACACTGGTGACTGTACTGGGAATATTCTGGTTCAATGCAAGAGAGATCAACTTTAATGCTTGCCTGGCTCAGATGTTCTTCATTCATCTATTCACTATTATGGAGTCGTCAGTACTCTTAGGCATGGCCTTTGATCGCTTTGTGGCCATCTCTAACCCACTGAGGTATGCTACCATCCTCACAAACTCCAGAATCACTCAAATTGGAGTGGCAATTGTCACTATCGCAACAATAATCTTGATACCCCTTGTCCTGCTTCTTAGACGCCTCTCTTTCTGCCATAGTCGTGTGCTTCAACATTCTTATTGCTTCCATCCTGATGTAATGAAACTTTCCTGTTCAGACACCAAGATCAATAGTGCATTTGGGTTGACTGCAACCATCTTAGTTGCTGGGGTGGGCTCAACATTAATCCTGCTCTCCTATATACTGATCATCCACTCCATTCTCAACATTGCATCCCCAAAGGAACGCAAGAAAGCCTTCAGCACCTGTATCTCCCACATCACTGCTGTTGCTGTCTTCTATATTCCATTGGTCAGCCTGTCCTTTGTCCACAGATTTGGAAAACAAGCTCCTCCCTACTTGCCTACACTCATTGCCAATGTCTACTTACTTATTCCCCCAGTGATGAATCCAATCATTTATAGTGTAAAGACCAAAGAGATCCGTAGAGCTTTGCTTAAAGTTCTTGGTCCCAAGGCAGTCTAAGTATAACCATCATTATCTCCATAAACCCAAGCATAGGAAAAATTCATCCAGGAGAGTTTTATTTTTATGGGATAACTTTATAATCTTAGAACTGAAAAGAATCTTAGAAATTATATAGTCAGCCCAACCTCCATTCAAGAAGATTCTACAATATTCATTTCATATTATTATCTGCTTTCCCTTTGAACTTTGCCAGCCATAGGGAGCAATAAGATCTTCTATTCAGTCTCTGAAAATTTAAGATGGTTCTAATTGTTACAAATAAGATTCTCTGTAGTTTCTACCACTTGGAACTATCCCTACCTTCTTAAGCAGTATAATGTATAGATTTATTTGTGTTGAATCTTAATTCAATATGAAAATAATAGTATAGCCAAGTTGTCTTTTCCTGAGCTTTAGTTCCCTCTTGTTTGAGATGAAAATATCTCTAATGTTCTTCCCAATAAAACATTGATGATCTCATTGATCTCTAAAAAATGAAAATGCTAATAAGTCATCTCAATTTTTGTTTAACACACTTTAATCCATTTGCGAATCTATTATTCTCCTGGAATTCCTGTGAGGGATTGTCTGATGTTGGCTACGTGCCACGTGGGGGTTGTGGCAAGATGGGGCAGGGACAAGATATTAGGAAGTAACCAGAGCTCACGCTCCCGAGGCAGGGGGCTGTGCCATGTGGAGTTGTGGTGAACTGGGGTAGGAACAGGATACAGGGAAGTAGCCAGAGCATGTGCTCCTGAGGCAGGGGGCTGTGCCACGTGGGAGTGGGACGGCAGAGAACGAGCTCCCTTTGTCTAGTCCTCTCCCTTGGTGCAGCGCTAACCCCAGACATCCCCTTCCGGTATCTGATCCTACAATCATTCACTGGTAGGCGGTCTGAGGAGGAGGGGCTAGGAAGGTATATAGGGGCAGTAGGGGTCGGAGCTCGCGCTCTCTTGCTCCTGCTCTCTTGCTCTTGATTTCCTGCTTGGCCTTGCTATGATGGCCTCTGAATAAAGTTCGAGTGTTGATCGGCTCATCTCTGTGTTTATCCGGGTGGGCTCCGAAGACTGGTAAGTATGACCTTGGCAGCCTGCTCCTGTTAGAAGGAGAGTACACGGCGCGACCAGCACAAATTCCCATATGGTTTTGGATTCCACAAACTCATGATCAAGACCTTGATTGTTACTTCCTTAAGTACAAACTACCATGATACACAATTATTTGACCAAATGTTAACTATGCCATTGCCCTATCCCTCCCTCGATACAACTGTTTTCCTAAAGTCACTTTTGAAAGCCTAATCTAATCTAGAGAACGTAATTGCATTTTTCCCATTTAAATCTCTTCATAGTTGTTAAAGTGTAAAAGTTCTAGAGTTTTAGAAACTTAGAGATGGAAGGGACTTTAGAAGTCATTTAATCCAACCTCCCTTCTAATTCAGGATTCCCTACTTTTCATACACATCAAGTCAAAACCCCTTTGATTATTTTGTCACCCTAATATATGCTTTTTCCTTATCAACTGGCTTCTTACTCATTGTTTACAAATATAACCAGATCTTGACCTATAGGAAAAAAAGCCATTTGATCCTACCAAGCCTTATAGTTGTCATCCTATATACTGCCTTTTCAAAATTAAACTCCTAGAAAAAACAGTTAACATGTGTCACTTTGACTTTCTCATACATCTTTGAATTGCCAAGCCCATGCAAGACTTGACTAAAACTGATCTCTCCAATGTCATCAATGATTATTTATTGATAAATCCAACAACATTTTTTCATTCCTCTTTTTTTCTTGAACTCTCTATTGACTTCCCTCTTTTATAATCTCCTTCCTGAGATTTTGTGGAAATGATCCAGCCAAACTATTTTATTGAACCATCATCCATATCCATCCAACAATCTTTGGGCATACCCCAGGTATCTTTTATTGAACTCATTAGTTCCCATGTGTTCAAATATCCTCTCTATGTAGATTACTTCCAAATCCACATATCGGGTACTCATTTCTCTAATGAACTCCAATCTCATATCTTCAACTGCCTAGTAGACATTGCACACGAGTCCCTCTTTGGCATCTCAGGTATGTCCAAAACTTACTTCATTTTCATTTCCCCTAAACCATTCTCTTATCCTAACTTCTCTGTTTTTGTTAAAAACAAAGAATTGTTTCAGTTATCTAGATTTGAAACCTAGGAATCATTCTAGATGTATCACTCTTTCTCATTATTCATATTAATTGATCAATCAGTAAACATTTATTAAGAACCTACTATGTAACAGGCACTGTGCTAAGCACTGAGGATAGGAAAGGAGAAAATAAATGCAGTCCCTGCCCTCAAAGACTTTACAATCTAATAGGAGTGACAATATATAAATATATAAAAAGTAAACAATATACAGGATAAAAAGGAAATAATAAAGGGAAAGCACAAGAATTAGGAAGAATTGGGGAAGACTGCCAGTAAAAATGGAATTTTAGTTAAGACTTAAAGGAATCCAGGGAGGTCAACAGTCAGAGAAGAGAAAGTATAGACTCTTAGGCATGAGAAACTGCCAGAGAACATGCCCAGCGTCAAGAGATGGAGTGTCATGTTCATGGAACAGCAAGTAGGCCAGTATCACAGGATCAAAGATGGGGAATAAGGTATAAGAAAACTGGAAAGGTAGAAGGGACCTAGGTTATTGAACAACTTGTGATTTTACTTCCATGACAGCTCTTAATTCCATCCCCTTTTCTTCATTCACACTGTAACCACCACTTTAGGCCAGCACTTCTCCCTAAACTTCCAATCTCTTTGACCAAAGGTGTCAAACATGCCTGACTAGCAACACTCCTGAGTCAGCCTGAAGCAGATTAAAATCCTCACTGGTATCCTTGACTCAAATCTCTCTTCTATATAACCCAAGCTCCACAGAGTTGCTAAGTTGATATTTCTAAGACATGGGTCTGACCTGGTCACTTCACAGCTCAAAAAGCTTCATTGGCTACTTATTAACTCTAGATTATGTTGAAGCTCTTCAGTCGGTCTTTAAAGTCCTTCATAAGTCTTCAAAGCCTATCTTTCCAGACTGATTGCACATTCCTCCATTTTGTGTGCTCTGCTTTCTAGCCAAACCAGCATATTAGCTTTTTCTTGTATCTGACATACTGTCTTCCCCCTTTGTTCTCTTCACAGTCTACATACTCTTTTCCACCCTTGACTCCTTGCCCCTTGCTGCCCCCATGCTTGTAATGCTTTGCCTCCAAAAATCCATTTCTTAGAACCCTTCTTTCAATGCTCAATTCATCTGCTACCTCTAGCAACAGGCCTTTCCTCTTTCCCCTAGTTTTTAGCACCCCCTTCCTGGTAAAAGATTTTATACTTGCACATGTCATATTCATTTATCTGTGTTGATGTTTTATCTTCTGGTAGGATGCAATTTCTTTGATGTCTGCAACTATTTTGTTTTTGTATTGTATCTTCAGAATCAAACATAACTGTCACTTTATGGCATTTATGAATTTTTGTTGTGAAATTGAATACAGGGGTGTATACATAAATGTTTTACATATGGCTCTATAGAAAAAAAACCTTGTACATTGCAAACAATTTTAATTTTAACATGTATTGTTAACATTTTCTATATCACTATCTTAAGTCTAGACAATCAATAGAACAACAAGTCGAGTCTGATTTACGGTGTCTATTTATGAGTAAATGCTCACCCTGAAAATTTAACAGTTTACTCTCATGAGCCAGTGTGAGTCAGCTTCAGCTTACTTAGAGATTCAGGTAAAAAGTATAGTTTTCATTTGTACACTCGTAAAGTTTATGAACCAAATCCATATCTTTGGCCCTGAACTCCTTCCTAAGTTTCACTCCTGAATTTCCAACTGCTGGCTTGAATTTACCACTGAGATGTCCCATTGACACTTTTAATTTACATTTAAAATCAGCATCCCTATCCAATAAATCTCCTGGTTTTGATATTCTTATTTAGGGTGCCATCATTCTTCCAGTCATCTATGCTAGAAACTCAGGAGTCATGTTTGACTCCATTCTCTATTTCTTCTCCTTCATCCATGCAATCACCAAACATTATTTATTCTTCCTTCCCAATATATTTCTTTCTTTTTTATTCTCACTGTCAGCAACCTAGTTCAAATATTTGTCATGATTAGCATGGGCTATTCCAATAGCCTTCATACAGGTCCTCTCTTTGGACTGAAGTTTATCTTTCTTCCAGTTCTGGAAGTGTTCAAATTCAGTCTCAGAAGGTACTTATCATAAGTGACTTGGGTAACACACTTAAACCTCTATTTTCCTCAGTTTTCTCAAATGTAAAATTGGGATAATAATAGCACCTTTCTTGAAGGGACATTGTGAAAATGAATGAGATAATATTGTAAAGCATTTGCAGTTAGTAGACACTTTGTTGTTGTTGTTACAATGGTGATAACGATGCTGATGCTGATGCTACACATACCTACCAGATAAATTGTCCTGATGTACTTTTCATATCATTCAGTTGTTCAAAAAATAAAAAAAACTTCATTATTTCCTAATTGCTAGCACATAAGGAGTACTTGATATAAACCTTTCTAATTGATTCATGTGTGAAAGCTTGTTATGTGGAAATGAGGTAAGTTTTGTACTGCTTGTTCTCAAAGGGTAAAAACAGGATTTTAGGAGCCTATAGAACACACATTTAGAGTTGGAAAGGACTTTATTTATGAGGACAACTAAGGCTCGGAGAGATTAATGATTTGTCCATGGTCACATGAGCAGAGCAAGGATCTAAAACTAATCCCTATGACTTCAAACTAACTACACCCAGGTTATCCTGACTCTAAGTCCGATGCTTTATCCACCTTGCCATTTTAGCTGTCTTAGAGAAATTATGAATGAGATGGTTTCTTGAGAAACTTGAGATGTATATAAACTGATGGAGAGTGTAATGAGAAAAACCAGAAAATATTTATACAATAACAACGTTACAAATATACACAACTTTGAAAGCCTTTTGAACTCTA